CCCCCCCAGTGAAGCTTTCTCAAGCGACTGCTTCGATTTGCGGGTTCAACTCTATTCCCCCTCTCCGGCAGGCCCTGCACCCCGCTCTGCTGTTTGCCACCAACAGCGTCGCTGGGAGCTGCCCCCGGGCGTCCATCTCACCTTAAAAATCCCAAGCAACCACGATGTGCTTTGGCTCAGGGAAGCAGGCGGGGGCAGACACGGGGAGCCCAGCACGGGGCTCGTCTCTGGATGGATCCCCGTGGAGATGGCGGCGGCAGGATGTGTCTCTCACCAGGGTTAACAGCACCACGGGGGCGATCCCCTTGCTCGGCTGGACCGTACCTCACTTTCTTACCACTTCATGCAGTAGCTTGTCTTGGATTTTATGTTCTAGAAACTGCTGCTGTAACTGCAAGTCTTATACTGGAGGCTGTGTTTTTTATACTGTATTTTTGTACCACTTTTGGAGAAGTATTGGTAAAGAGTTTGCTTTTTTATATATATATAAAAACTTTTTTTTGGAGGGGGGTTCCTGCTGTGGGGGAGGGCTCAGTCCTGCTGCACTTTAGGGAGATCAGGAAGGGGCTGGCTCCTGCTGGACCCTTGAGCTGAGTCCTCGCGGAGGCCGGTTCCCCCCTCGCAGCTCCCCAAACCACCCATTTGCAATAACAGGGGATTTTTTTTTCCCCTTTCCCATCCTTGTGAGCACCCCCTCACCAGCAGCCACTTAAAATCCCCAGTGAAGCTTTGGGCTTTGCAGGGAGCCTGGCTGGAGGGGGCAGGTTGGATGCATGGGGGGGGCTGTGCTGCCTGCGAGGCTTCCCCCTGCCTGTGCCATCCTGCTGCCCAGCCTGCGGTGGGGCACGTGGGTGGCAGAGTCCCCTGTCCCCTCCTGGGGGTGCTGGCAGGCGTGGCCCTGCGAGACAGCACCCTCGGGTTCCCCGCTGACCTGCTGAGAACCGTTAGAGTTAACACTGTGGTTGGATTTAGCACTTTCTTCATTACCTCACACTTCATAAATAAATAAGTTTGCAACAGCCTGGGTTGGCTTTTTCCGTGCAGGCGGCTGTGGGTTTCCATGCATCACGCCACGATGCTCCTGGGGGGGGCTGGCCTGGCCTGGCTGCCCTGTTTTGGGGTGTCCTGGCCACTCACGGACGTGAACAGAAATGAATGTATTTTGCACCAGGGCTTGGCTGCCTCGCCGCCAGTAAGACTGAGCTCTTTGTCCTGGCTTTCGCCCAGCGACCGAAACAGAAGTGGTCACGGTGGTGGGGCCAGGGAAACGAATCACCTGGATTATTTTTCCTCCTTTTAAGTGGCTTTATTGGCAAGGAGGGGCAGAGAGCCCATGCTGGGCTTGGAGAAGGCTTTGGTGTAACTATAAACCCCCCTAATGGGGCTCGGGGCAGTCGGTGTGGGGCGATTGCTGCCCTGTGGGTCAGGGGCCGGGGCCGTGGTTGGCGGTAACCCTATAGGGAGGGGGGGAAATGCAATCCACTCGCTTCAAGGGGCGTCGGAGAACTTCGTATACCCAGATCTGCCAAGTGGATGAAATTATATATATGTGTGTCCTCCCTGCCGTCCCTGAACCCGATGCTTTTGGGTTTCCTTCATACTGGTGGCAAAAGTCTTACTTTAAATGCAGGAGGGACATGGGATCCTGTTACTGCTGAGAAGTCAGAAGAGAGCTGCTGCTGCTGCAGGAGACTCAATCACCCGGTGGGAAGCCAGCCTTAAAAAGCAATGATTCTGCATGGAAGCTCTTAAATACACTTTCCCTTCGGTTCCGGCAACATGTCACGCTTTCTGCATGTTGCATCGCGCCATGTCAAAGCGTTTTAGAGCTGTATTAAAGGGTGCTCGCAGGAACCACAGCTTAAACGCAGAGCAGGGTGACCTAAATCTGACACCTCGCCCATGCGCAGGAAACAAAGCCCAGATGTACCAGTCCCTCAAACGCTTATTTTTGTTGCGTGTACGCTGACACTTGCAGACTGGTGTCTTTTTTCAGCTCAAACTGACCCTTCCGATAAGGTTTTTAGTAAGGCATGCTTTTTCGTTTCCTGCTGGAAGGCACATAGGATGTTTAAAACATTATTCTTCTTTCTTGGGAATGATGTGCAGATCCCGTGGCCTGAGCTGAGACCATCGTCAGTGGAAAATGGAGTTGGTCTCAGATCAAACTGAGGAACAGTTGCAGTTTTGCACATAACCTTTGAGTTCTCCTGCTTAAAGCCCACGTGCATAAATATATATCTACCTGAAACTTCCCTGGTTACCAAAGCAGATGTCTCCTCTCGTATCGCCACGGTAAGGACGAGGAAAGCAGACGGACGGTGCTACGAAGTGAACAAAATAAACACCCAGGGCTTTTCCTCCTGGCTTGTTCAGTGCTGCAATTTGCAAGTGTTGACTGTAACCATCACAATTCCGCCTTTCCAGGCCCGATACAGTTATTTTTTTAATGCAGCTTGCCCTGCTCACACCTTGCTCCTTGCGACTCACCCCCTTGCCTCTGCTGCCGTACCCCCCCG